GGGGACAACATCAAAGGCTTTCTGGAAATCTAAGTAAAGCTGAGCTGAATCTGTTTAGCCTAGAGCAAAGGAGGTTAAGGGGGGACATTATCTATATTATTTGTTACAATAATTGCATTAAATCTGAATGTGGTAACTGGAAAAGTTCAAATGAAAATATTGCACTTTTTACTAGAATTTATCTTTAATTTAACTATTAAAAAATAACTATAAAATCTGTCTTAAGACTAAGTGCATCATTATCAAGTCAGACTTGCATTACTTACATCCAATAATATCAGACACTGGTATTGGATATCTGTGTTGGCTTTCAAAAAGCATTGTAACCTCTAGTAACTATTATATTCAATAAATCTGTCCTAATCCAACCTTGAGAGCCAGTCATACACCTGAAGCCAAAACCACATTTGATGCTCTTTACCAATAAAAAAAAACATGTAACGTTTAAATGGATTGTGCTTAATGAAGGCATATTAAATATTGATATTAAAATGTCACCTTTAAGGAGCAGTCAGGTTTCAACAAAAAAACAATACAAAAAAAAACTTCCACAGTCAAAAAGACAATATTTTATTATGCTATTATTATATATAGCAATTATTTTATTATACAACACAAATGCAATAGAATCTTATCTTCTAATATGAATTCAGTTTATTTCTCTACAGGTTTTCCCCTAATATCATCATTAGCCATGTACTGTGCAGTGATTCAAAGCTGCCATTTGACATCAGTCAATGGAGTAACAACCAAAGTCATTAACTTTATGTGCAGACTGTGCATGGGAACATTTTGTGCATTATATTTGAATTTATGAAACACAGCATTGTATGGTTCATGTAGCTTTCTGCTTCTAAAAGACACTGTAGAAATATTTTGTAGAGTTGAAAGGCCACATGCTTTATCAAATGCTAAATATACTTACAAATACATAAACACACACCTGTCCTAACAGATCTCAGCATTCTGGACAACACACACCTGAGCTGCACTGTCATTGTAGAAACTCTGCACCTAACTGTCATATAATTATCTAAACTTTATGATCAGCTGTCAGTAGGGCTGCACGATTTGGGGAAAATATCGAATTGCGATTTTTCTGACAGAAATTGCGATTACGATTTGATTTGCAATTTAATTTTTTTTTGTCAAGCTTCAGTTCAATATTCAGTGTGTAGTAATTTTAAAACATATGACGCAGCATGATACCATCAGTATTAACTGGTTTATATTCTAATGCAGGGGTGTCAAACTCATTTTAGGGTGAGGGCCGGATGAGAAGAAAATGTGACCATGTGCGGGCCGAATTTATTATTTATTTTTTTTAATCATAGTGCATCAAATTACAACAAATACACTATATTCTGTAAAACTGCATTTAACAAGTCCTCAGAAACTGTTCATTAACACTCTTATTCCTTTTTAATACTACTACTACTAATAATAATGATAATAAAAAATATTTGATATTTAATACTATTGTTCAAATAATCCCGGCCGTATGTTTGACACCCCTGTTCTAATGCAAGGATGAGAATTTAAAGATGTGATGTGTCAAGTTAAATAAAGTAATAATGAAAACTATTGCAGCAAAAAGAAAAATAGCGATCTCGCTTATTACCCTCCTAATAACACTAGAACCACCTTTTCCCACGCCAATGAACAAGCAAGAACTACTTCAGTGTATGCAGCCCTTTTGTTTGCGCTATTGTTTTGTTAGCTGCTGTTATTAACACTAATAACACTCAAAAAACCGTAATGTTCATAACAGAGTGGCTGTTCTGTCCTGAAACCGTAAAGCTGGAAATTGTTAAATGTAGTATGCATTTTATAAAATGTTGAATAAATAGAAGTCGTTTATTGGTGATTTCATGTTGGTCGAAGTTTCCGCTTTTTAACAACTGTAGGCCTATACGGTTATTTTCTATACAAATCAATTCACGTGAAACAAAAAATGTACGTGTTCATGGTTGCAAACTCTTTCAGACTCTCATGCAAGAAAACTTACGGCAAATTTATATTCCATTGTGAACTTAAAGTTAGCTGCATCAAAAACGTTACGGCAGTTTGCAAACCCTACAGACTATTTACAAGGTAATAAAACTTACATACATGTAAATGTGTGCAGAACAGAGAACAGAAAATCTCACTCCATGAAGCTGACCAAAGTTGCCAACCCTGCATTTTATTTTAAATGAGAAGTAAAATGCAGTTTTTGAATGAAGCAGCTTATCATTACTTTGCTTTGTTACTCGGGCAAATACAAAACGAATGATTAAACATTATATGCGTCTCTTTTTGTATGTTTTCTAAATAAGACCGCGTGCCCATACCCAACTGTAATAGCGATTAAAGCGATCTATTCTTTTAGTATTTATGTTAAAGCAAGACTTTTATTTTATTACTGTTGTGGGATTAATCTTTGGAAACACTTAAATTTAATAAGCATAAAAACATATGACATAAACACGACTGCATTGTGAGTTTTACGGCTTTTTTGGAGGTCACTGACTCTGCTGCTGTGAGAATTACTTACTGTCTCGTTGTTTTGATGGGTTAGCGGTATACTAATGCTATTGCCTATTAACGAAAACCAAAGGTGTGATACGCTGAAGTATATTGCAGCTGGTGTTTAAAAGGAGCTCGCCGGTTCTATTGATGATAGGACCTTTCTGAAACAATCTCGGACCATGAAATAGGAAGGCAATTCACTTATTGCTCAGTAGCGGAATCAGTATTTTTCCACACCGCAAATGTAACATTTTCCTTGGGTTTCACGTGTTTGTTGTTTGTGGGCCTATACGCCTTCTTGGGCCACTTCTGATTGGTGAGCATGACTGGCACGCGAGAAGCATGGCGCTTGTGATTGGTGAGAATGACTGTCACACAGGGAGCATGGCATGAATTTGTAAAACTATTCTCACAGCAGTTTTAAACACTGGGTCCGACGTATAATGTATATCCTAAATCGTGATTTTTGCGACTTGCTAATCGCGTTGTTTCAAATCGCAATTTCGATTTGAAATCGATAAATCGTGCAGCCCTAGCTGTCAATATTATTTTGCATAGCTGGGATTCCTTCTTGGGTTCTCTTGGGCATCCATCTAGAGTTTTTTGGTCTCTAAGGATGAATTCCACATTTAGGAATAGGGTATTCCCCAAGAGAGTTTTAAGGCTTAATATAAAATGTATGACAACATTTTTTGGTACAATTTTTTTCTCATGAAACCCAAATAGTTAAACTGTGAAATGATTTGTATTACAAATCAAGTAGATAAGTCTTCAATGTAAAAACTGCAGTATGAAGGAATGAATGATTTGTCAGGCATCTAAGAGGCAACTGTCCTTCTCCATGTCTCCACATAGCTTATTCTTTCCATTCAGGCGACATCGGTGCTTTGAATAGTACATCCACAGTGGTCTGAGTCTTCTCCAAGTCTTTCTGCATTGAATAAATGGCTTCCTCATGTCTCTCCACTTTCACAGAGTAAGCTACCAGGTTGTCTACTGCGATCCTAAGCTGCTGCAGGTCATTTGGGACCTGGCTAAGAGAGGCCCTCAGTTCATTTGTAACTTGGGATTCTGTAATGGTCTCTCTGAGGGTGTTTAATGTCTGCTCTAGGGCATCTAGTCGCTGAGACAGACTAGAGTGGGCTGAGGCCAGTTCAGCCTGTGCATTGTCTAAACCAGGCACTGTACTCTTAAGCTCATCCATATCATTCTTCAGTGCTTCTGCTTGATTGCCTAGGGCTAGGCAATGGGTCATTTCTTCCAAAATAACCTGTAATTGTTGGGCTCTCTGCTCAGCATTTTCCTTTCCATCCTCAAAATCCTTGGTCAGAGTAGCAAGTGTGCTGTCATGAAAGTCAATCATGGCCAGGCTGGACTCCAGCTTGGCCACCTGCTCTTTCACAGGCACCTGGACAGAATCTATGCTTTCCTCCAAGACCTTCACCCTGGCCTCTAACTCTTCGCTGTTCCGCTCAGCCCGGTCCAATGATCCACGCAATTCCTTCTCCAGGCTCTGGAGACTGCCCTCTGCCTGAAGAAGCCCAGTCTGCATGCTCTGAGCCTGGTCTGACAAGGTTTGGAAACTGACCTCAACAGCCGACATAGACTGCCTTAGTGTCCCAATTGTGCTCTGCACTAGCTCCCTCACAGATACAATCTCCTGGGATTGGGATGCCACCTCCTGGTTCCTGGTTTGGAGTTCTGCTCCGACAGCACCTATCTGTTCAGCCAGTGAGTTTGTGGTCTTCTCCACCACCATGCTGTCAGCCTGAAGCTTGATCATGGAATCAGCCAGACTCTGCAGCTCCTGCCTAAATTTCTCTGGGTTAGCAAGGCCCTCCAGCCGCACACGTAGGTCCTGCAGCTGACTCTGTGTTTCACCCTGCACTTCAGCCACTCCTGCCACACTGTCACCGATGGAGGTACTCAGCTCTGCCAGGCGCTCCTCCACGGCCTGCTCCAGTGAGGAGAAGTCCCGCTGTCGTGTCTGCTTCACTTCCTGGATTCCATCTGACAGATCTTTCAAGATCTCCTTCTGAAGTCTTTGCAGTGCTTCTTCCATCCGCTGTGTCTCTGACTCCACTCTCTGTTGGGCCCGTCCCATAGTGTCAAGCTCTGCCCTCACCCCACTGAGAGCAGAGTCAAACTTGGCCACTGTTTCCTTCACAGAATCCACCTTCAACCATTAAGAGATGGGAAAAGACTCTGCTATCACATCCACAGGAAAAAAATACAACGTTGTAAAATCTTTCACGGTAACCCAGCAATGTGTTGTTACACACTAAAATGAACAATACATTTTTAATGCTTTATTTTGCATAATACTAAAATAAAGCATTTTATACTGTGAAAGCTGTAAAAACTTGTAAAAACATTATGACAAGTTTTTTTATTTGTCAATATATACTTTTTAAACTCAAGATGACATAATAGCACTTACTTTTTTAACTGATATGAGAGTAGTGTAAAAAATACAAACCTCGGGTTTCTCATTCATGTATGCTTTTGAGCTGATAGTGATACAATTCCATATTATGCTGTTATTTTTTGTAAAATTAATTTAAGGCAACAATTCCATCCAGCTCCCAACCACTTTTTCTGAATGGGGTCACTGAGGCCTAGATAATCACTACTAACCTGACTGCGTGGCTACGTTGCTTGTTTGCCATCCTGTCGGTGTCCCCCACCCTCGTATAGGCTCACCGTGACAGTAATAATCAGTAATTCTAAGTGGGATGTACGCATAGACATTCCCAGTTAAATATGTTATGCACATATACCCGATTTCTGAAGGGTCGTGGGATATATTGTTGCGTTATATGGATTCGGCAATTAAAAACTATTTACCACCGTTTGTAACGGTTAACACGATTGTTTGTTTACCTCTTGACGAACCACTTCTATTTTACTGGCCACCTCGGCATTCCGGTTTGTCAGTTCTTCGTTCCTGCCGGTGATCTGACGAACATCCTCCCGTACCGCTTGCACATAAAACGCGGTGAAACCCGCCGCTACTGCAAGGGCTAGGTAACACAAGGATGCCAAGAAACTCCAGCAACTTCCCGAGGCAGAGCTCGCAGCGACAGGGCCAGCCGGCTCGCTGGCTTTCGGACTCCGCTTTGCCACGTCATCTGGATTTGAGTTCTTTACAACCGCAGTGTTCTTATTCCGTTGTTTCGCTGTCATGACTCTAAAATAATGAAAAAGACAAACTGGTCTTTTATTTCTTTCAGTTTTCCTTGTTGAACTAACTATACATCGGACGAACTGGAAAGTGTACAGATCGCTGGTGATGAGATATTCGCCGAAGGGGCGTTACTCACGGAACCGCTCTAGTTCTACTCTGCCTGCTGATGTACAGCGGCCATTCGTCTTTGGAGTTTGTGAGACGGAGTACACGCGTGAGGATCAGGGCGTATGCAAGTACATGCCCGCTTCTATTTTTGCATACATTTTTGGGAGGATTTTTTCGTTTATTGCCAGACAGTTTCGTAATCTGTAATATCAAGATGAAATGTTTTTGTATATAGAAGACGTTTATGTTATGCTTTAGGTGTTTATTTAAAATTCTATTTGCGCGTATAAACTTTTTTTAATTATGTATTAATTATTGGTAGTGGTTGTATTGCGCGGTGAAGTTGGTTTTATGTTCGATATTCGCTACATTTACTGACATCTAAACTGCAATATCTTCGGGATCATGACTGCAATTCTTTTCAGATTAGGCTCTACATGTGAATTTAAACGAGGAAAATATTTCACACTTTAAGTTAGCTCCACATTTTCCAGCAATATGAATTAAAAATACAAAGCAAGATGGGAATATCCTTCTGCTCACACAAAACTGACGGAAAATGTAGGGACCGTCTTGAAAGTGCAATGCCCAATCAGCATAACACCACTTATACAGTGTATATGAATATTCATCTACTCATTCAGTTTTACTTTCCTTGGAAATAAAGAAATAAGCAATATTTTCTGTAGTTATTTAATACAAAACAACACCCATATTTCATAATGTCATAAACAGTTATATGGACACATACAAATGTTGTTCAGCAAAATAGTTCAGTGTGAAATTTTTCTGAAATGGTGTGAAAGATGAGAGAGGGCCAGAGGAACTCATTGAACTTGGTTTGATGTTGATTTGTTTTAAAAATGAAAGAGTTATTACAATTTATCCAACTGCAATATTGATAGATGGTTATAGGTCACATAGAGCTGGTGTTCTGGAAGATAGATGGGTGTGAAAATTTCTCATAGGGTGTGAAAGATGAGAGAGGGCTAGAGGAACACACTGAATTTGGTTTGATGTTGAGTGGCTTAAAAATGAAGGAGGTATTACAATTTATCCAACAGCATTATTGATAGATGATTATAGGATACATACTGTACGTGGTGTTATGCTGATTGGCATTGCACTTTGAAGACGGTCCCTAAATTTTCCAGCAGTTCTGTGTGAGTAGAAGGATATTCCCATCTTGCTTTATATTTTTAATTCATATTGCTGGAGAATGTGGAGCTAACTTAAAGTGTGAAATATTTTCCTAGCCTCATCTGAAAAGAATTGCTGTCATGATCCCGAAGATATTGCAGTTTAGATGTCAGTTTAGATGTCAGTAAATGTAGCGAATATCGAACATAAAACCAACTTCACCGCGGTCCGTAACCTCCGGGATAGGCTTCGGATATAGGGCTGTTATTGTAGCAAATTATGTGCAAATGTGTGTGGAGAGTTGTGTGACTGCATCTCAATCCGTGTGTGGGTAATCAGATTTGCAAATGTGTACAGGAATCTGTAAATGCGTAATCTGATTCGTATGCGTAGTGAGATTTGCAAGTGTACTGAGATTTGTACGTGTGTGGAAAAATCTGTAAATGCGTATATAGGTATTAATCATGGTAAAAGCATTTTGCTCCAAGGAATGTATATACCGATAAGTCATTATAGTTACAACTCAGGCGGACCTCTCAATTGTCTTTTTACACATGGTTACACATAGTCTTGATCTCCAGCGTGTCCTGGGTCTTTCCGGGGGCCTCCTCTCAGTGGGACATGCCTCAGTGGGACATGCCCGGAACAGGAGGCATTCTGACCAGATGCCCGAGCCACCTCATCTGGCTCCTCTCGATGCGGAGGAGCAGCGGCTTGTTAGTCTATCATATTAACATAAACTAGCAGTGCCAGAAATAGTTCATTTAGCCACATAGACTACCATACTAAGATTAATGTTTATGCTATCACTTGTGTACATAAAGCTTATTGTCATATGTGTCATAGGGTAATGACAAACCTCCGAATCCCGCATTTGCTCTTGCGACACCCCGGCACACGCTTCGACTTTACCACGACCTGCAGAACTGTAGTAAATGTGGAAATGAGTTGCGTTGTGAACGTGCGGTCGATTACTTTTCCTAAAGGACCCAGATTGTGCGTCTCAATGAATTGAAATTGAATTGTGAGAACTTAAATTGAATTTGGAGAAGTGAGTTTGTAAGTATAAAGCGTCACATTTTCCAGGTAGCATAAATGCAGTTTCAAGTTAATTGGAATTCAGATTCAAACTAATACATTCAGATTCAGTTTTTTAGTGCAATAACTGCAGATTCAAATATACACTATTCATATTCAGTTTCTAGTGGCACAAATATCAGCCCATATACTTCTGCCGCGGCAGATCTGCAAATGTGTGTGGAGATTTGTCTGTGTATAGAGTTTTTGAGGGCTTGGGGCTTAAGGTTGTCCCACTCACTACTGTATTTGTAGCTCCACCATTTAAACGCAGAAGGAGGATCGGTAACCGTAAATGCAGTATTCGGGTACCATTTTTTTGAGATGAAATTGCTCTCTCTGCTCAATAGTCGTTTTGCAAACTTAGACGATCTAATCAAATTAAACCATATTGTAATCAATACTGAACTTCTAGTAGCTTATTCATTTAGATAGATTAGGGCTAACCTCAGTATATTTTTGGATTGCAGAGGGAAACCCCACATATTTCCCTGCCTTGTCCCTGTAGCCCTGTAGGCTCTGGACCCCTACAACACAGTGTAGGATAGTCAGGTTCAGAAAACAGATAGATGGATCATATCACAATAATCTCCCTATGAGATATAGGGCTCTCAAGTTTCATCAAAAGTTTGGAGTAAAATCTGTTAAGGGCACAGCATGTGTCTCACGGTCAATGCATGAGACTTATTGGATCTTGCTCTTCCACCTTGTCCGCACTCTGTGTGCGTGTGCATCCATGTAATAATGTGCTTGCAGTGAGATCACATGTAACTTATTTTGGAATTTATCTGGAAAAAAACAAATTCTATTTTCTGATTGGCTGGTAGGTAGCTAATAACATGCTGGCAGTAGGATTGCATGTGACTTATTTCAGAATTTACCCCAAAAAAACAAATGCTATTTTCTGATTGGCTGATAGGTAGCTATTAACTCGGGACAGATATGAACTCAGCAGAAAACTCCAGTAGGATCACACATGCACATATCACAGGGCCTAAACACCAGCTGGCCTGAGACAAGGCCGAGCCTGGTACGAGAGGCACCAAAGGGGGGTTACACACATAAACACACACACACAGATAACAAGGGAGGCCAGCACTCCAACTTT